GAAATAAAGCTCCATAGAATCTCCTCATGACACCATCAAAAGAATTCTTCATTTCTGATAGTACAGATTGTCTAAGTATTCCCATTTAGCCCTCCCCCTTTTAACTGTTTTCTTAATACATGTTTGTAATCCATAATGTTTGCAACCTCTGTGGAGAATTGGCACATGTACATAACCCTTCTTAATTCCCTTTTCTCCCCCACCCCAGGAATTCTCTTTCCATGAATATCATTTACCATGATCTACTAGACAGAATCCTGGGTTTTATATGCAGAACAGGAGAGACAGCAGTAGGCATCACTTTGGCTTAGAGAGAGGTATACTTTCTTTTGTCAGATTCAAATATCAGAGATGGAGCCAGGTTAGCTGAGGTGAAGTTGCCATTCAGTTTTGGGCCTCAGAGTCCCCAGAGGGAGGAGGCTGCTCTGTGTCTGACTCAGGGTGTGAGCTGAGCTGGCAGAATTTTATGTTGTCCACGCTGCTCCTGCAGCCTTCTGGGAACCTCTGCAGCAGAGGGGGTACAGGCGGCATCGCTGGGCAGCATGCAAGTTTTTGGGCTGCCTCCTTGCCAGCCTTGGGGAGTGTTCTGAGCCTCAAGTCTGGCCCTTTCTCCACATTCTTGCCCTTTCTACCACCATAGCCAAGCAAGCTCTGCTGCATTTCTGTGGTTTCAGTTTAGAAAGCCCTTCATATGTACAGCCAGATTGCATCCTGTTAAGCTTGTACAAGTTTTTATTTCAGCAGCAAATGAGAGCTCTTTTTAACAAAATTTCTCTCTAACATCATTGGGTTCTATTGTAGGTTGAGATTCCAACATTTTGCTAATTTCTTAGGCACTGGAAATATAGCACCAGGCCTCATGCATAATAGGGCATAAAATATTTTTATTGGTTAATTGAAAAATAATTCTATATCCAATTAGCTATTTCTCAATCTGTAATTATGGCCAGTTCACTGTCTTCTTTTCTTTTTTTTTTTTCAAAATTTTATTGATAAACAGATAGCAATGAGACAGTTTCAAATCAAATCGAAAGTACAGTTTCAACAAATAATACACTGCATATGTTCTTCCTAGTGGTTAATTGTTGTACAAGATGCGGATTTGAGATCCTATTTACAAACACCATTAGAACAAATCATTCTATTCATTAAGAGAATGCAACTATATATCTATCCTAACCACTTTGAAAACACAGATACAAAATGGACATTCATCGGTATACCCCATTTTTTCTAAGTTCCATTATTGAATATTATAGGTGTGTAAACTCAGCAAAATATTCTAAAAGAGTCCAGTAGCCCATAATAGCATTGGGTCTTCTGTTTAACTGGCAATGTCAGAAATTATTGACCTGAGTCCCCCTCAACTTAACAGCATGGCTTTACTTCCTATATTTCGTCTTCATACTTTTCTACTGGATGGTTAAGACCAAGGTAAAGCAGGACCTGTGCAACAAGAGTTGTAGCTTTTTGGTCTGAGAAGGTCAGTGAAATGCCCTCAGGATTTATCCTGAGATCCTGTACCTCAGATTGTAGAACCTTTGTCAGTGCAGCCATGTGGATGAGTCACGGCCATTGCTTGGCCAATGTGCCCTCTGTGAAAGCCTGAGAGAGTGTCTTCTCTCCATGTGACTCTCCTTAGGCACACTCTACATCATCGATCACTTTCCTCTTTGGCCCCATAATCTTCTTGATCAGAAAATTTGGGACACTGCTGAGGTACATGACGTTACAGTACAAGTTCTCATATGTCCTGAGTCTTAATTGACCTTAGAAGGTTAGGGCCAAAATGTTGGCTTTCCTTGTAGCCCTCCTTTTTCTCTAATTTTGGTCTGCAAACTTAGGTTGTTAACCATCCAGATGTCTTCTTTTCTTTATCGAATGGAGTTAAAGACTTTTGCGCTATTCACTGGACTGCCCCAGGCTAGGATGAAATTACAGATGTATATGTAAGGCCTGCATAACACCTCCATGGAATTTAGCAAGAGAAGGTACACCTCCAGGAAGCAGCAGAGAGGTACAGAAAAGGTAGACATTAAGAATTCAAGGCACCCTTTCACTGTCTATCATTCCATCATGGGAAGGAATACGTGGATAGGAGAGAGGGTAGAATTAAGGAGTTCTTCCTCTCACTAAAATTAGCCTGTTGGGATAAAAATTAATTAAATCCTTCTCAACCAGGAAAGAGCCCGTTTTTTAAAGTCCAACAGCATAAAAGCCCTTGCTCACTGTGGGAAGTGGGGGTCTTTGCACCACATCCTGCCTGGGCTCAGTGAGCTCTCGCATTGACTGCCCTTCTGCAACCCTCCCTGAGTACTCTGCCCACTGGTGTAGGGATGGAGGCCCAGCGGTGTGCAGCTCCTTAGACTGGCACACAGCTGGGAGCAGAGCACAGAAGCAAGACAGCCCTGAAGGTCATTGTGAAGTTTATTTCCTCCTGCTGGCTTCCACCTCCCCCAAAGAAAACCAAAGCATAAACCGTGCATGGCACAGGATTTCACTGACTCTTGTGAGACCTATCACACACAGCTGACCTTCAGCCATAAGCCAGAGGGCCTACAGCAAGGGTCAACAAGGGAGCACACACCAGCCGAATCCAGCCGCTGCCTACTTTTGTAAATAAAGTTTATAGTTCTTAATTTATATTTTAGTTTCTCATAATAATGAGATAAGACAATACATAATCTCTTCAGTTTTGGTGGAATGCACAATTGCTGAAAGTGCTTCACTAGAAAAGGCTGTTGCATATATGCAGTGACGGGACATGTGACATCCATTAAGATGCTGTCGCAGGTACTTTTCTCATTGCTGAGACAAAATATCCAACACCCACAAGTTAAAGGAGAAGAGATTTATTTAGCTCACAGTTTGTGGAGGGTTCAGTCCATAATCAGTTGGCTCCAAGACAGAGTGGCACATGGTAGAGGGCAGCAGTTCATGGAGGTGGAAAACAGCAAAAGCAACCAGAGAAATGAGGGGCAAGCCTCCTTCTGTCCCTTATATGCAGGCTCCCTGCCCTAGGATGAGTAATGCTTAATCCCAGCATTCCACTACAAATCAGTCACACACTCTAAATTCAGCTACCTCTGGAAAAGCCCCATCTAAAACCACATGAGGTGGGGAGGAGACATCTAGGCACATGCCGTAAGAGATACAGTCAGTCAAATCCAGATTAACTCAACTTTTATACCATAAATCACCAAATTTCTTCAGTAAATAAATGGATATGTGGGAAGAAGTAACTAGGGCCACTCTCAAGATTAGAAGAGATAGAAAGAACCTTTAGATCTAATGCATGTTGTGGACCTTCAAATTCAAGAAGATCAACTCTGACAGTGGAGGTGATAGGAGACCTTGGCCACAAATGGGGTGGTACTGGCGCTATGTCCATTCATACTTGTAGTGAGCATGGTGGTGCCCCAGCTCTTCTGTGGAAGCTGAGGCAAGGAGACCATGTGAGCCCAGGAGTTCAGTGTGGGCCTTCACAGCATAGGGAGAGTCTGTCTGGAGCGGGCAGAGGAAACATCCTTGTCTACTACAGTCAAGGAGATTGCAGCATTCAGAACTGATTCTCCTCATCTTGAGCTCCTTCAGGGCAAAAAAAAAAAAAGAGGCTACAGAAAAACAATTAAAAAGAACTGATGTTTTAAAATTGCTGTTGTGTGTTGTGCGGAGGAGCAAGTGGAGAGCCATGAGCAGGCTAGGCAAGTAGTACTCTACCACTGAACTACAGTCCCAGCACCATGGTTGACTTTTATTGAGCCTGAGTAAGGAGCACCTGAATTTCATGATGTTTTCCTCTCAAAACTTAGGTGGAATTTTTTT